TGGAAGTTCAATAGGCAGTAAGACAAACTTTAGCATTCACATTCTTTAATGGCTGTTGGATTACTTTCCAGAAATTATCTGTTAAAATCTCAAGATTAACTAAGCCAGTCAGATTGCAGATGTAAAGACTGCAGCCTGTACAACTTGCTGGATCTGCCCTTCACCCATTCTAGCAGATGAGACGTGAGGGTTAATTTTGATTGTCACCTTGACTATATTTAGAATGGTCTAGGAAACAAATGTCTGATATTGCACGAAGAGAATTTTCAAGGAGATTTACTAAATAGGGATGACCTACTGAATGTGGGTGAGAACATTCTACAAGAGAAAGTCAGCTGAGTAATAGCATTCAATTCCTATATCTCTGCTCCCTGACTACCAATGGGTAGACTGTTACTGGCTAGAGAAACAACATAACAACTAAGACAATAATACTATATTATAGACACAATAGAATGATTCCAATATGAAAAATAAGTAAATCAAATCATGACATTGCCACTTTTAAGCAATACTGCAATTTCTCAAACTAATAATTTGACTTCCAACAGTAACCTAATGTCTGACCGACAGACAGATTGGCTCATGTGTCTGGACATGTTGTTTTGTTGGTTTCAGTCCAACATAAGATAAGTTTTAAACTATTGTAAAGGGGACAAGACACAACACAAGCCCCAGGACAAACATAACGTAGTATCAACGGTCAATGAATTTATTACTGCTGCATATTAGTGTTAAAATGTGTGAGGAGATTTTACTTTAGAATGTTCTGAACCAAAGTAAACATTAATCAATGTTATTAAATTAAAATATTTAGTGTCCATTTTCAAAGTGATATTGGAATTTAATATATGACAATGACAATTAATTAGATTTTATAGTTTAATATGTTTTGTCAGATATAAATACTTGTGAAACAATCAATATAATAAAGATACCAAATGTTACATAGTAAGAATGTCACAAAATATGAAATTAAATAGCCAAAAATATCCATCTGTGTTCTTACAAGCCAATACTATAGCATATTAATAATATACTATAAAACTGTTAAAAAATTACAAATGCTCATATGTTCATGTTAACTGTGTATGAATGAAGTTTCTAAGTCACAGGGAAGGGATTTGCCTACCCTTTAGAGCCAAAATGTTTTGCAAAGTAATTATTTTTTTACATTCCAATAAGCAGTGGGTGAGTTCCCACAGATCTACATCCTCATTGACATTGGTCATCAGCTCTATTAGAGGTAGACATGCAAGTAAACTTTCTTTTTTTTTAAAAAATTTATTTATTTATTAAAGATTTCTGTCTCTTCCCCGCCACCGCCTTCCATTTCCCTCCCCCTCCCTCAATTAAGTCCCCCCCCCTCAGCCCAAAGAGCAATCAGGGTTCCCTGCCCTGTGGGAAGTCCAAGGAACCCCCACCTCCATGCAGGTCTAGTAAGTTGAGCATCCAAACTGCCTAGGCTCCCACAAAGCCAGTACGTGCAGTAGGTTCAGAAACCCATTGCCATTGTTCTTGAGTTCTCAGTAGTCTTCATTGTCCGCTATGTTCAGAGAGTCCGGTTTTATCCCAGGCTTTTTCAGACCCAGGCCAGCTGGCCTTGGTGAGTTCCCAATAGAACATCCCCATTGTCTCAGTGTGTGGGTGCACCCCTTGCGGTCCTGAGTTCCTTGCTCGTGCTCTCTCTCCTTCTGCTCCTGATTTGGACCTTGAGATTTATGTCCGGTGCTCCAATGTGGGTCTCTGTCTCTGTCTCCTTTCACCACCTGATGAAGGTTAATATTCAGGAGGATGCCTATATGTTTTTCTTTGGGTTTTCCTTATTTAGCTTCTCTAGGATCACTAATTATAGGCTCAATGTCCTTTGTTTATGGCTAGAAACCAAATATGAGTGAGTACATCCCATGCTCCTCTTTTTGGGTCTGGCTTGCCTCACTCAGGAGAGTGTTTTCTATTTCCATCCATTTGCATGCAAAATTCGAGTAGCCCTTGTTTTTTTACTGCTGAATAATACTCTAATATGTATATATTCCATACTTTCTTCATCCATTCTTCCATTGAAGGGTATCTAAGTTGTTTCCAGGTTCTGACTATTACAAACAATGCTGCTATGAACATTGTAGAGCATATACTTTTTGTTGTATGATAAGGCCTCTCTTGGGTATATTCCCAAGAGTGGTATTGCTGGGTCCAGGGGTAAGTTGATCCCGAATTTCCTGAGAAACCGCCACACTGCTTTCCAAAGTGGTTGCACAAGTTTGCATTCCCACCAGCAATGGATGAGTGTACCCCTTTCTCCACAACCTCTCCAGCAAAGGCTATCATTGGTGTTTTTTATTTTAGCCATTCTGATAGGTGTAATATGGTATCTTAAACTTTCAGTAATATGTCCTGCAATATGTTTCCATTTACCTATAAATATTAAAAAACATTTTTCGAATTGTATATTGTCACTTGTGAAACAACTTGTTTATTATGCACATTTGAAGCTGGGAATTTCATTTCTTACTACATTGTAGGAATATTTCATATGTTCTAAAAATATCTTTTATGAGGCAAATAATTTTACATGCCTTAAATGTAAAACTTGCCTTTTATCTTTTTTATTCATTATTTGAGAGTTGCATCCAATATGTTTGGATCGTATCTGCTGCTTTTCAGTTCTTCTTGTAGCTACTGCCCTTCAATACACACAATTTTGGGTGTCCTTTAATTTAGGATCCTTGAAGACTAATGGGCTAACCAAATGATCTTGACTCTGTGATCTTCTACATAAGAGTGGTTGATTTATGAGGAACTATACTCTTCGAGAAACTCATGTTGTCTCCTTATCCCAGAAGCTAAGAATAGCTGATGACTCTGTGGCTAGTGGTAGAAATTTTTACCCAACTTGATTCTTTGTTCCCAGATCTGGTCTGGATAATGCTTGCACATGTTTTGTACATGCTGTCACAACCACAGAAAGTTTATGTATAAAGCTACCCTGCTGTTAGCAGAAGACAATCCTTCTGTATTTTCTATATTACAGGGAATGGGGGACTTTGTGCTCACAGATATTCTCTAGAGGAACTTGGAATGTCAAGTCCACATTATCATTCCTTCAAATGAAGGAATGCAAAACCTGTTTCTGCACAGAAGTCTGTGGCAATCATACTTCCTAGACTGGTGGTCTTTATACAATCAGATATAATATTCTTATATCTGAAGACTTTAAGGCACAAGGCTCTTCTTAAAACCCATTCTTGCAAACTTGTTTTTCTCAGTCAATAAAGTTAAATTTATGAAGGTGTCACGTGTAGTTTACAGAGGGCTTTGATGAAGTCATCTTCAATTTGAATTCAGTTTACTTTGCTCTTCAAAAGGATTTAGATATGCTTTGTAGTACATGAGGTTTGACCTAATCCTCACAAGTATAGTTATCTTAGTCACTGTTCTGTTGCTGTGAAAACACATCATGACTGAGGCAATTAATTATAAGAGAACACAAATAATTGGGTCTTGCTTACATTTTCAGAGATTGAGTTCATTATTGTCTTGTTGGTGTGCAGGTAGACAAGACACTGGAATAGCAGCAGTGAGTGCCATTAGGTCTGCTGTGTATTTTTGAAGCCTCAAAGCCCTCCTTCCCAAATAACATTCTTCTGCCAACAAGACCACACCTACTCCAATAAGGCCATACCTACAAATCTTCTCTGATGACCAAGCATTATAATATATGAGCCTATTGAGTCTATTATTCAAACCACCAGAATAGTTTTTTATCAATTTGTGTTGTGTTTAAATATGCCCAAAATAAACAACTTTTGGGTCAGATTTCCAAAGTTTGAACCAATAAAGGCTTTGAACCCCATTGTGCTTAAACTGGCTTCATGCCTTCTGTAACTGTCTGCTTCCATGAAAACTGGAAAGGCCTCCTTAATCTGCTATTTTTTGGTGTGCCTCAGGTTTGTGAATACCAGTCTTGCTTGGCCTAGAAAGTATTCTTTCACTGCAAATGTCTAATACTTCTGGATCTTACAATCTTTCCACTCTCTCTTCTGTGATGATCCTTGAACATTGCAGGGAGGAAGTGTCACATATGTGTCATATTTAGAGTTAAGCAAACCACATTCTCTCATCTTTGATCATTGATTAGTTAAAAGTCCAATATTATTCACTACCTAATGCAAAAAGAAGCTTCCTGTAAGAATGTAAAGAGACGCCCAAATCTATGTGAATAATGAATAAATGTAAGAACATTGGGAACAGTTTTTGTTGTTGTTGTTGTTGTTGTTTTGGGTTTTATTTTTGTGTGTTTTTTTTTTGAGACAGGGTTTCTCTGTGTTGCCTTGGAGCCATTCCTGGAACTAGCTCTAACAGACTAGGCTGGCCTTGAACTCAAAGAGATCCACCTGCCTCTGCCTCCCAAGTGCTGGGATTAAAGGCGTGCACTACCACCACCCAGCCAAGGGAACAGTTTTAATTCATGTAGCAGAATAAGTTTTAACTTTTCTCCAATTACTAAGACAGTCATAAATCTCTTCTCTCTATTATCTCCCTCTCTCCCTTTTAAAGATTTCAGGTGACTTCTATTTTATAGAGTAGGCCTTTTCTTACATCCAATCAGAAGGTACTTAGATACTGCCAGAACATTTTTTGCCACTACTGCTCAAGTGGGCATAACTTGCCATTCCAGTCATTTCTATAGTTTTCTGGGTTCAAAGCTAGGTAAGATTAATGATTGTTCTTCTCTCCTTAAAGCTTGTATACAACTTTGTAGAACTGTGAAAGCTAGCCAATAGAAATGAAGCTTCCATATGAGGATCAGTTTGACATCTTCATGGTTTATGATTCATGTATATGGTATCGTTAGCAATAGGGACTTACCATAAAGTTCTAAACTAAAAGCAATGGTAATAGCCTATATGTGCCTATATGTTTTTGTGTGTTTATCACACTCAACTAATCAGGAACTTAAAAATTGTTAGCCTGCTCTTCCTCAGGACTGAGCTTCTTGATCCTACTGCGTTGCTAAAATATCGCTTTCTAACAAGCTGACTTTGGACAAACTGGACGTGAAGGGAAAGCGGGTCATGATGAGGGTGGACTTCAATGTTCCTATGAAGAACAACCAGATAACAAATAACCAAAGGATCAAGGCTGCTGTCCCAAGCATCAAACTCTGCTTGGACAATGGAGCCAAGTCAGTTGTCCTTTTGAGCCACTTGGGCCGACCTGATGGTGTTCCCATGCCTGACAAGTACTCCTTAGAGACAGTTGCAGCAGAACTCAAGTCTCTGCTGGGCAAGGATGTTCTCTTCTTAAAGGATTGTGTGGGCCCAGAAGTCGAGAATGCCTGTGCCAACCCAGCAGCTGGCACTGTCATCTTGCTGGAGAACCTCTGCTTTCATGTGGAGGAAGAAGGGAAGGGAAAGGATGCTTCTGGGAACAAGATTAAATCTGAACCAGCAAAAATTGATGCTTTCCGAGCCTCACTGTCCAGACTTGGGGATGTCTATGTCAATGATGCTTTTGGTACTGCACACCGAGCCCACAGCTCCATAGTGGGTGTGAATCTGCCACAGAAGGCTGGTGGATTTTTGATGAAGAAGGAGCTGAACTACTTTGCCAAAGCTTTGGAGAGTCCTGAACGACCCTTCCTGGCAATATTGGGAGGAGCTAAAGTTGCAGACAAGATCCAGCTGATCAATAATATGTTGGACAAAGTCAATGAGATGATCATTGGTGGTGGAATGGCTTTTACTTTCCTTAAGGTGCTCAACAACATGGAGATCAGAACTTCTCTGTATGATGAAAAAGGAGCCAAGATTGTTAAAGATCTCGTGGCTAAAGCTGAGAAAAATGGTGTGAAGATTACCTTGCCTGTTGACTTTGTCACTGCTGACAAATTTGATGAGAATGCCAAGACTGGCCAAGCTACTGTGGGCTCTGGGATACCTGCTGGCTGGATGGGCCTGGACTGTGGTCCTGAGAGCAGCAAGAAATATGCTGAGGCTGTGGCTCGAGCCAAGCAGATTGTTTGGAATGGACCTGTTGGGGTCTTTGAATGGGAAGCTTTTGCCAGGGGAACCAAGTCCCTCATGGATGAGGTGGTAAAAGCCACTTCTAGGGGTTGCATCACTATCATAGGCAGTGGAGACACTGCCACTTGCTGTACCAAATGGAATATAGAGGATAAAGTCAGCCATGTGAGCACTGGGGGTGGGGCCACTCTAGAGCTCCTGGAAGGTAAAGTCCTTCCTGGGGTGGATGCTCTCAGCAATGTTTAGTATTTTCCTGCCTTTTGGTTCCTGTGCACAACCCCTAAGTCAACTTAGTGTGTTTTCCGCATCTTCATTTGGTGTTAGTGCAAGATTTAGCTAGTGACCGAGATGCAGCACCAGGAACCCTTAAACAGTTGCACAGCATCTCAGCTCGTCCTTCTTTCATCGGGATTTGTCTACATTCTTCAAGATCCTATTTAAATTCCATAGTGACTAAAGCCATTGTGCATTCTAGAGTGCATCTATTTATATTCTGCCTGTAGAAGAAAGTGAGCTATGAAAGCTTAGTCCTCTTTGAGTTGGCTTTGTCACTGTTCACGACTCAGCATGGAAATAAGATGAAATTCCAGCTGTAGATTTGGAGAAGTTGATGATCTATTAATAAAGATGTCCGCCAAAAAAAAAATTGTTAGCCCACAACTGGAACTGGCTTTTAAATTAATAGCCGATGGTGCTTAGTGTAAGCATCATCCTATTGTGATATGTGTTAATTCCATTTATATCCCATCTGTATATGTATATATTTAGGGAGCTTCTATAGTAGGATGTATTCATATGGCTATTTAAATAATAATTAATGTTCAAATTCCATTCCCAACATTGTAATTTTACTATCCTCTCAAAATTTTAATAATTCAAAAGAAATAGAATTTATTCAGTTTTATTTTTATTTATTTATTTATTAAGATTTCTGTCTCTTCCCCGCCACCGCCACAAATTTCCCTCCCCCTCCCCCAATCGAGTCCCCCTCCCTCGTCAGCCCAAAGAGCAATCAGGGTTCCCTGCCCTGTGGGAAGTCCAAGGACCACCCACCTCCATCCAGGTCTAGTAAGGGGAGCATCCAAACTGCCTAGGCTCCCACAAAGCCAGTACGTGCAGTAGGATCAGAAACCCATTGCCATTGTTCTTGAGTTCTCAGTAGTCTTCATTGTCCGCTATGTTCAGAGAGTCCGGTTTTATCCCAGGCTTTTTCAGACCCAGGCCAGCTGTCCTTGGTGAGTTACCGATAGAACACCCCCATTGTCTCAGAGTGTGGGTGCTGATTCTGCTGACCAATGGGAAAATTTTAATTTTAATATTTGACTTAATTTTAGATTTAAATTATGGATTGTGGTATTATGTTTTGTCTTCGGAGTTTTGTAATGAATGACACTTATTCACCTGATGTTTTTGGAACTGGAAGTACCATTCCCTTCTGCTGCACTGTCTTCTCCATCAGTGTCTCCTTAAGTCCTCTATTTCAACTTCATATGCAGAGTTATTCATTCATGCAGTGCTCACTAAGAACACGTATCTGGGAAATGCCTTCCACACAATCATAGTTCCACTGAAAATTAGCTATTTTCTGATACTTTTTGATATTTCCCACTATCTTAAGTGCTTCTGCTTTGGTTTAGAGAATTTCAAACTCAGCACTTACAATTTATTCAGGAAGAAGTTACAACATGGTTTCTGCCTCTATGAGTCAAGTGTGATTTGAAGGTCATTTTAAATAACTTGCGAATCTCAAATAAATATGATTTTGTATGGCATTTTATTCAATATAACTCTTACTTTTCCTTACAGTACCTGTTATTCAATATGTTTATTTTCTTTCAAAAATGTGTTCAAGTCTAGCTCTAACTTTAAAAAATGTAACAGAGTTATTGAATGTCAGGCCCTGAACTAACATTGGTGAAGGTTGGTAAAAGAAGCAAAGCAGACCTCACCTTTAAAAGAGATTGTGTTGATTAGCAATAACAAAGCAAATGCTTAAATTCAACACCGCAGAACATTGCAAGTAGTAACTAGCATTACTTTAGAAGCATAACAAAATAGGTAATGTGACCTGATGACAGTAAGTTCTCTATAAGGCCTTCTGAGAGATTTTTATGGGAAAGTATTGATATTAAATAGTAAGGCAACTCTTAAAGGGAGAGAGAACTTTATGTTTAGAGAGAGAGGAGCACAAGCGAGAGGTTTATGTTCAGAATTCTCCTAGATGTTCAATGTCAGAAGAATGGGAATCTTGCCTTGTCATACTAGCTAGAGGAAATGAATAAAAAAAGTAGATTTTACCATCTGCAGTACTTTGTCAACCAAATAAAAACATTTAGATTGGACTTCAGTGCAGGAAGGAAAAACGAGAGAATTGCAAGAAACAAGGAGCAGGGATTAGTTTGGTGTTACATAGATTGTTCAGCTACTTTTGGGATAATGGTATGTCCAGTGGCAAGACAAGAAGCAGAAACATCCAGGACCAGGATTGTGTCTTCCTCTAGGGTAGATCCATCATTTGCTTATATTAGAGACATAGAAGTAGTTAACAGTGTTGGAAATAACAATATATTTGATCAAAGAAACATGCTGAGAAATGACTCAGTCTGGCATTCACAATTTTGGTCTTACATATCTAGGAAGATGCTTATGCCTAGGACATAAGATGTGAAACCTGGAATCAGAGGCATCAGAAGTAATACTTGTTTCAACCATTAGGACCTCCTTGTCTGTAGTAAACACACACAAAATTATCCCCTAAAGAAACATTAAGATGGAAAAGAAATACAATTTAGGTATGTGCCTGTGAGCCTAAGTATTTTTCATGGTCTGGAGACATAACTTGAAATTTATGATAATTGCTTTCACATAGTTGTAAATAATGTTTTCTGTATATTTGCAGTAAAACATGTATATCAATATTTTTATGAGTTTATTTTTCTTATTAATGAACTACTTATTTATAATCCATGCTTTCATGAAATGGTTTGTGTACTAAATCATAATAACATCTAATGTTGATGAACTTGTGACACACCTCTTGCAACATTAAGTTGAAGCTTCAAATTTTATTTGATTCTTTAGTGAGTAGGTGTATGCATTTTAAATGTACTTATCATTTGAAAACATTCCACTTTTATTTTTAATGTAGTTACCATAGTAACTATAGCTGGTTCTTGATATTTTGCCTCAGAAAGAGAGCCAAATAAATTTAGACAGATATGAGGGGAAGATATCGTAGCTCAGTATCTCCATGACATTTTATTCTTCATGATTAGATATAATGATAAAATTTAAAATATGAATTAATTATGCTAACATTGCTAAATTTTCTTGCTTTTGGCTTTGTGGTGTGTCTTGGGTATCATAACTGAACAGTGAAGTGGTGGAAATGCTAAGTGGCTTCATGGTGGTATTTCTAGTCAGGTAGGTCTGGGTTATATAATAAGGTCTTTTGAGAATGTGTCTAATGTGGATGTCCTTCTGTATCTGTGATGATTTTATTGGTTAATGAATAAAGATATTTTTGCCAATAGCTTGGCTGAGTAAAATGAGGCAGGAAGTCCTAACAGAGATATATATAGAGAGAGTAGGTGGAGTCAAGGAGCCACCATGTAGCTACTGAAGGAGAAAGACACCAGCACCTTAGGTAAACCACAGCCTCATGGCGATACACAGATTAATATAAAAAGAGTTAATTTGAAATGTAAGAGCTAGCTAGAAATATGCATAAGTTATGAACCAAATCAGTGTTGTAATTAATAAATATTTTGTGTGATTATTCAGGTCTTGGAAGTCAGGAAAAGAACACGCAGTTGCCACATACATGTGCCAGACAGCATAACCCCCCTCCCCCATGTTTCTTGCCATGACTTCTTTCAATGAAGTCTAGTGATCTAGTGATCTAGATGCATAAATCAAATAAACTCTTTCAATCCAAGTTTCCTTTAGTCATGGTGTTTATCTCAGCAACAGAAAATCAAACTAGAATACTATCATTACTGCTCGGTACCCTCTGATTTAGATTCATGGAATGCAAAATAAACTTCCATGCACTGGCTAAGTCCCTAGAGCTTCTACTATATACTCCCAAACATAACTCTTCCTGTGTAATGAAGGCAATTGTTAGAGTGCACATTATGTGTTAGTCAGCACTTCCCTTTAATATTGTTCTCTGCAATTTATTTTGTGTGTAATCTTCAAAAGGTACCCTGAATCTTTTCTGTGTAGCCTCATAACAATTTTTTGACATATATTATTATTTTTGTTTTAATAAAGACAAAAATCAATTTTAAATAATAGACAATTGGAAATGCGATTTTACCCCACTACCATAGCCCATGATTTCCTACACATTTGAAATTGCTTATATACATCCTTGATAAAGAGCCCTACAATAAAATATATGAAAGAATATTTTGTTTCTAAAATTAGCTAAAGCAAATGAATATGAACAAAATAATCTATATTTTCTCTCAGAAGTTTATTATTTAATTGGTTTAACACCGTTTTAGATAGGTTTCTATCATAATAACTAAAATTAAAAATAAACTAAAACTTCTTGGTTAAGACATATGATTAATAATAGACTATAGGTCAGAACATCGAAATGAAAGGAAAATAATAGTAACTTTAAAAGTAAAGGAATAACATTTTAGGAAATCATCTAATCTTCTATAAGAATTGAATCCTATTACATAATCCCAGAAAGAGTAATCACTATTGGAAAACTGTATCTGAGAGAAAATTAAGTGCAAAACACCATCAGTATTTTGACCATGTTATACTTGGCCAAATAGAGAGTTGAAAGATTGTGAGGTAGCTTGTGTTCAGATGCAGACACCACAGAAGAAGGAACGTTATATTGTTTCATCATATTTTGCTTCTTATAAAAAGTGTTCTTATACACATATTGTGCCATAGGAGCTTGTTGATATCATTATCTGTATAGAAAATCTTGACACACTCAATAAAAAATAAAGTTGGTTCTGAAACTCTACACCGGTGGTTTTCAGCCTGTGGATTGTAATCCCTTGGTGATTGCGTATAAGATATTCTTCATATCACATGTTTATATTACAATTCACAACAATAGCAAAGTTACAGTTATGAAAAAGCAAAAAAATAATTTTATTGTTGAAGATCACCACAACAGGAAGAACTATATTAAAGGGTCACAGAATTAGGAAATTTGGGAACCACTGTCCGCTATCTAATTCAATTTGACTTCAAATATCATTTGTCAATAGTGTTTACATTGTGACCAAGCTTAGATATTCAGAAGAAAGTTTCTAAAGATAGCTAAAATTAAACATCATGCTTAGATAATGGGGTATCCTCTGATA